GATCGGGCCCGCCAGGCCGTGGAGTTCCTGGAGGGCTGCTTCGAGAGGCGCGACAGCTACATCCGGGCCCTGACCAGCCGTGGCAACGAGCTGGAGTCCATCTCCTTCCGCAGCGAGGACATTTCCCGGCAGCAGGTATACCCGGCCAGCTCAGCACGAGGGGGCGAGGGGGGCTGAAGACCCTCCCCAAATGCCCCCCTTGGGTTGGAATCTGCAGTGCAGAGGATGCCTGGAGCCTCCAGGGAGGCTGGGAACAGGGTGGGGCACTGACGGCCCGAGGGGAGGGCTTCGCTCCGGGTGCAGGGGGCCCCACTGGGCCGAACCCCCAGACCCATCTCGGCTGGAGGGGAGGGCTGAAGGGGCCCAAAACTCTTCAATATATAGGTAGTCCTCAATTTACAACCACTCGGTTAGTGACCGTTCAAAATTACGACGGCACTGAAAAAAGGCACTTGTGTCCATTTCTCACACTTACGACCGTCGCAGTATCCTCATAGTCACGTAATCAAAATTTGGAGGCTTGGCAACTGGCCTGTATTTATGACGGTCGCAGCCTCCCGGGCTCACGTCATCCCCTTCGGCGACCGTCAGATGAGGAAAGTCAGTGGGGAAGCCGGATTCACTTAACAGCCGGGTTACTCACTTAGCAACCGTGGAAAGAAAGGTGGTAAAACGGGGCATAACTCACTTAGGAGCCCTGGTGGTGAGAATGCGGCATTGCAGGCAGTCTCTGCAATCCACAGCCGGCAGTTCGATGCTGACCGGCTCGAGGTCAGCCCAGCCCTCCGTCCTTCCGAGGTCGGTAAAAGGAGGACCCGGATGGTTGGGGGCAAATAGGCTGTTAGTAAACCGCTTAGGGAGGGTTGTAAAGCACCGTGAAGCGTCATATAAGTTGTATGGCTAAGTGCTGTTGCTATTAACAACTGCAATGACAAAGGCTTTACAGGGAAGGTGGGGGAACATAACGGTCCGGTCTGCTCCCCGGGGGTCGCGGCCAAGATTCAGGGGCACTTTTACTTGGAGCTAGAGCGGACAGAAACAAGAGGGGCGCAGTAGCAACCAGGAGCAAACTGAGACCTTTTGTGGTGTAGAAAAGCCCAAGGCCCGGGGGCAGAGCTTCGGGGCAGGCGTGGGATACCCAAGGGGGGAGGGGCTGGTGGTCTGGCTGGACCCTTCCTTGTACAAGCCCCCCCTCCCCTGTGTGTGACGCTGCAATGGAGGCAGCCTGTGGGACCCCAGGGCTGCTGCTGCTGCTCCTCGGCCGTCACCCAGGACGGGGGGCCTGGTCCCGGGAACCCCCTTTCTGAAGACCCAGCAGAAACCAGATACGCCCGTGCAAAGAGCCCAGCCAGGATGGAGGGAAGGAAGACGCTGGGCCGGTGAAATGGGTGGCACAGGAATCCCATCGGCCAATAAACGAAATCGGCCCCTGTTGCGGTTGGGGAGGGGGCTTCAGTGGGACCCACCCACTCTCATTCCAAGAGGCAGGTCGAGATCAGCTTCCGAGGGGCGTCTTCTCTGTCCCGGAACCGAATTCCTCCAAATATAGCACAAGCTCAGGACAATCCAATAGCCACCCGGGCTGGGTCTTCCCCACTCAATGGGGAGGGCAAGGGGGGCTTTCCTGCTGCCCCTCCCCCCTCCCAGTGAGATTTTCAGCCCCTCCCGGCAGCTCCCATGGGCAGCTGCCCCCTCCTGCCTTCCCGTCTCCTGCGGGGTTCCTGGGAGACGGACAGACGGGGCCAGGCAGGGCTGGGGATTTGGGCCGACTTTCCACTTTAACCGGCCTTCCGGCCAGGAGGGGCAGCTTTGGCCTGGGAGGCCAGGAGTCGCCTCCGGCAGGCCGGCCCCAAAATGTCACCTGTCAGAGGCTGAAGAGGTTCCTCCTCCTCCTCCTCCTCCACCTGCCAGGTGGGGGGGCCGCTCAGCCTCTCCTCTCCCTCCTCCTTTTTCCCAGGGAAACAACGACGACCTGATTCTCTCCTGCTGCCTCCACTACTGCAACGACAGAGCGAAGGACTTCATGCCGGCCAGGAAAGGTGGGTGGGGGAGAGCTCGGACGCCCCGCAGGAGGGCCCAGCAGCCCCCGCCAGGATTCGCACTGGGCTCACTTCGGAGGGAGGCAGAAGGTGGGGGGGAGGGGAGTGGGGGGCACGTCAGGAGCCTGGTCCTCCATCGCCCGGCCCTTTCCTGGAAGGCCGCGGGGGCCCTTCTGCCGCCTCCTGGCAGCCCCGGAGCCGTTTCCAGGGGGCAGGAAGTGGGGGCCGCAGCTGCTCAGCCCAGCCCCATGCCTGTCGGGCCAAACTCGGAGCAGCTTAACTTGTCAGCTTGACGGAGAAGGCCTTTCGCAGTGTTTATGCCTGGCTGGGGTGGAATCGGGCGATCAGGGGATTATGGCGGATGGGGCCTGACAATCTGACAGCCTCTGGTTTCTAGCAATCCGTCTCCTGGCTGGCCCAGGGGATGGTTATTGTTAAGCCCTGGAAGGTTCCGCTGGGCGGGGGGGGGGCTGGATCCTGGCCGGCCGGGCGGGCAGTGTCCCGGGGCTGGGTGAGGCCCAGGCGGAGCGGCCCGGGACCCACAATCCCTTCCCCTGCCTTTTGCAGACGACCCCATCCGCCTGCTCCGGGAGGTGGTGCTGCTGACCGACGACCGGAACCTGCGGGTGAAGGCCTTGACCCGCAACGTGCCCGTGCGGGACATCCCCACCTTCCTGCGGTGGGCCCAGGAGGGCTGAGCGGACCCCTTCCCTGGGAAGCCGTGCAGCTCGTCGCCAACATGGAGGGCGGCCTCAGGGCGTGCCCGTGCCCCGTGCCAGGGCTGTTGTGCTGCCACCGCTGCTGCCACCCCACCACCACCCTCCTTCCAGGAGAACACCCAGCACAATAAACGCAGCGTCTTCAACTCCACCTGGAATGGCCATGCTGTGGGTGCACGCACACGCGTGGAGAAGGAGCCCGGGGTAGGCGGTCACTGTGGAGGGAGGCGAGAGTGAGCAGGGTTGCTGGCCTCTGGGGCCAGGAGGAGAGGCCGGTCGGAGGGTCCTAAGTGGGCCTCCGATCCCCCCGGCGCAGCTGGAGCAGACTCCCGCTGCCCTAGTGGGCAGCCAGAAATTCTCGGCTCTAACTGCCACTGCTGCTCCTTGGTGCCATCAGGAGCCGGGGGGGGGGCACCTCCTTCCATTTCTGTCAGCAGCCCCCCCCCTTCCCGAGTGTCTGTCTCAGGTTTTTAGCCCCTCTCTCATCCGTGCCACTCTCTGGTCCCTCCTCCCTCTGTGCCATGGACTAAACCACCCTCCCTGCCCACCTGCCAATCCAAGCCAGCTCTGTCTCCGTGGTGGGCCTTGGGAGGGAGGCCAGGAACAACCCTTAAGGTTGGGGGGGGGAGATGGGCAGGAAAGCCCCCCTGGAGGAGAGCAAGGGGGACGGCAGAAAAATGGGGGCTGGGTTCCAGCTGTTGTGCCCCTTGGTGCTCAACGAGGTTGTGTGGGTCGGCAGAGCTCCTTTCCCAGCCAGAGCCCTTCCCCATGGGAAGACTTTCCTGCCAATTGTGGGGGGGGGCGGAGTGCCCCCGTGGGGCCACATGCCAGGACTGCGTGGGGGGGGAAGAGGGGCCTGGTTAGCTGCAGGGCAGAGGAGCCCACCCGCCTTCCCTTTGGACGGGAATTGCCCGCTACGAGTGTGTGCCTCTCCCGGGGCTTGGCGCGGCCCCCCCTTTGCCGAGGAGGGGGGGTGTCTCTTCCACCCCGTGCAGCTTCTGACTCTGCCTGACTGGCTTGGACGGAGGGCCTGGGCCCACTTTTGTTCCCTTGTTTTCTTAATAAAGTTTTAGTAGAAACCTTGCTCTCCGCTGCTTCCTTTGGGGCGGGGGGGGCCCACAAGAGAGGAAGAAGGGGTAAGGGGCCGTCCCAGGAGAACGTTTGGGGGGGCAAGAGCCCCTCTGCAGCCAAGTGCTGAAGGGGAAGTTCTGCCAGGAGGCCAGGAGTTGTCCGAGGCTGCAGGGCACCTAAATAATACAAAGAACCAAAACTGACCAGCCGTAGTCTGGCCGGCCTGCAGAGCCCCAACTGACCAGCTACTGGGTTAGGACAACCCGTGAAGCCGGCCCTTCTGGGGACGACCGGATCAGGCTGAAGTGCCCAGCGCGCCCGTGGCCTTTGCGTCCATCATGCTCAGGGCATGTGCTGTGTGCATGGAGCAAAGAACACGCTACACGCATCAAAGGGGAGCCTGAGCGCCACTTTGGGTGTGGACGGAATAGCCGCTCAAGTTGCGGGGGGGGGGGAGGCCGGCCGGTGGTGGCAGCACTTGAGCATCTCAAGGAAGAGGGGGAGAATTTCCTCTGAGCAGCCGAGCGTGAGGGTCCGTGGGGAGAGCTGACCCCTTCCCATTTCCTCCTGCATCAGCTGTGCAAACAGGGCAAGGAAGGCACCTGCACTCGGCCCCCCCCCCTCAGCACTTTCTGGCATTGAAAAGGCACCAGCCCCCCCTCCCCCCACCTCTGGCACCGTCTCTGCATCCGGCTTCACTTCTGTCAGGCACACACACACACACACATACATATACACACGTGCAAAAGGAAAGTGGACAGGGAGGGGGGGTTTAGTGCCCTGCTTTACTGCAGCCCCTGTTTCTGGCCCTTGCTTCTCCCGACAGGAGCCTCTATCCATTCCCCAGCAGCACCCCAAAGTTGGGACTTTCACGCACCCCCCCATCCCCGCCCCAAACCCGCCCGAGGAAGCAGAGGCCTGGATGATGGTGGCAGCAGTGTTTAAAAAAAACCTTTATTGCTTTATGGGATGCTTAAATGTTATTTGGTTTTGGTCTCTGATACAAAAGAGAAGGCACCCCTTCCCCAGGGCTACAGGCACGGGAGGCTGCCCCTTCGGGTGCTCCGTTTCCTTTGGGTAGGGTCCCCCCCTGGGGGGAGGATTCCCGCTGGGTCCCCTCAGGGCTGGGGGGGGAGGCAGCTGGCTCAGATGAAGACACAGCCCAAGGGGGGGGGGAGGCAAGGTGTGTGCAAAGAGAGAGCAGTTTCACATTTTTCCGTGGTTGGTTGGGGTCAAGGGGGGAGGGAGAGGAGCGGCTGGGCGGGCTGTCCTAGAGCCGCCCCCCCCCACACGAGTGCAGCAGAGGCCGGGCGGCAGGTAGCTCCCCCCCCCCGAGGTAAGGCAGAGACCCTCTGGGGCTTCAGGGAGTGGGGCAGTGAAGCCCAGCCCCAGATAAAGCTCTCCCCGTCCTCAACGAAGCGGACAAATAGGTGGCATTTTGTCTTTGTCAAATAGTATTGGGGTACCGAGTGCCCCGTCCTGAAAGCAAGTCGGGGTCTTCACGGGGGTGGGGGTGGGTGGGAGCTACATTGGCGCTCAGAGAAGGTGCTGCCCCCTCCAGGCCAGGGCAGGGAGGCTCCCTTCCGCTTTGTGTCCCTTTGACCCACAATCTGGGGACTGAGGGAAGAGGGACGCCCTCGACTTTTCACATTAGAATACAATACAACTCTTCCCCCCCCCCCGAGCCCGGGCCAGCAGTTTTCAACCAGCTGCTCCAGACACCCCCCCTCCCTCCTTGCAAGGCAGCGGCAAGCTGGATCCGATGCCGGGGGGGGGTCTGCACCGCCCCCACCGCCACCTTCTGGGGCCTGGAGGCCGGGCGGGGCTCCCCTACCTCTGCCTTAGCCTCAAGGGGTTCCTGAGGCCGGAGGGCCTTGCCGGGGACGCGGGGGGGGGCTCTTCCCGGCCGCCACCAGATCGCTCCCCCCACCCCGTGGCGAGTATCGTCTGCCTCCGGAGGGGAGGGGGCGCCTGTTCAGGAGCCGTTTTGCGAGGAGCCCGGCCTGACACCCCTCTCCATCCCTCCCGGGGGCAGAAGAGGGGGGGCCCTGTGCTCCAGAGAGCCCCCCCCACAAAGGGGCTGCAGCTCCGAATCCCAGCTAGGCAACCTGAGAGCCGAAAGGGGGGCCAAGCCTGCCCCTCACCAGCTACCTCCGCTGCCGGCCCCTTCCAGGCTGGGGCGAAAGGCCGTTGGCTCAGTCCGGCTCACCCCCCCCCCCCCCACGCTTCCACGTCCCCTACAAGCCTAACCGCGGAGGCCCCTCCCTGGCGTGGGGGGGAGGCGTGAAGGGGCCCCATGGAAGAGGCCCTTCTCCCTTCTGGGAGCCTCCCGCCCGGGGGAGGGAACCCCAACCTCCGCTCGCCCCCAGCCCCGGCAGGCCTCGCCGACGCCCCCTTCGGCGCAGGTGCGACGCTGCCCGGCGCCCCCTCCTCTGCCGCCAGTCGGGGGCGACCGAGGCGGAGGAGACCCTTTGAGGTAGGGACGAATTGGCTCTCCTGGGCTGGGGAGGGCGCGGGGAGCGCGCAGCCGGGGGGGGGCCGTCCTGGCGCTTGCGGCACCCCCGAGGGCCGGGGGCGCGTCAGGGGGGCGAGAAGCGGCCTATGGTCCGAGCGTGGTGGTCGTTGTGCAGGTGGTGGGTGGCGGCCACCACGGCGCCCTGGGCCAAGACCTCGGCCGTCTTGTCGGGGCTGAGCCCGAGGTAGAGGCTCTCCAGGGCGGCCTTGGGGTCGGCGGCGGCGGCAGCGGCGGCGGCGGCGGCGGCCAGGAAGTGCGAGGTGTGCTGGAAGAGCTCCTTGTCCGGCGGGGGCTGCTGCGCCAGCCGCGCCATGGCGAGCACCCCCTCGGGGAAGTCCAGCTTCAGCTTCCCGTCGGGGCCGGCGGCGGCGGCGGCGGCAGCGGCGGCGGCGTGCATCTTCATGTGGCTGAGCAGGTTGCGCTGCTGGGCGAACTTCCCCCCGCAGACCTGGCACTCGTAAGGCTTCTCGCCCGAGTGGATGCGCATGTGCTCGGTCAGCCGGTACTGGCGGGTGAAGCGCATCCCGCAGGCGTCGCAGGCGAAGGGCTTCAGGCCCAGGTGGCTGCGCATGTGGCGGGTCATGGTGCCGCGCTGCGTGAACTTCTTGCCGCAGATGGAGCACGGGTAGGGCCGCGTCAGCCAGTGCGTCTTCTCGTGCTGGCGCAGCGTGGCCGGGTCCTTGTACGCCTTGTCGCAGGAGGCGCAGCGGTAGGGGCGCAGCAGGTCGCAGCCCGGCGGGCCCCCCGAGGGCGGCGGCGGCGGCGGCTGGGGCGCCGGCAGCGGCGGGGCCTTGTCCAGGTAGGGCGAGCCCTGCCCCGCCGCCGCCGCCGCCGCTTCGGCCGCCTCTTTGCGGTAGAGCTCGTCCTCCTCGTTGTGGGCCTCCACGTGCGCGTTCAGCTGCTCGGAGGACGGGAAGCCCTTCCCGCAGGGGATGCAGACGTAGAGGTTGTCGCCCCCGAAGCTCTCCGGCTCGTAGCCCAGGTAGCGCTCCAGGCTGCCCCCCGCGGGGGAAGGGCCGCCGCTGCTGCAGCCCGTCTCCTCGCTGGTGCTCTTGTCCGGCTCCAGGTCCTCGGCCTCGCCGTCCGCGCTCTCCAAGTAGTGGCGCGGGGGCGGCGGGGCCGGCCCGGAAGGCGACGGGGCCCGGGGCTCCAGTTCTCGCTCGCCGCCGCTGCCCTGCTCCCGCCGGGCGCCGCCACAGTCGCCCTCGTCGTCCTCCTCCTCCTCGTCCTCCTCCTCCTCGACGTAACCCGCCACCAGCGGCTCGTGCTTCATCCAGCGGTACAGGAATTCGGGCGCCACCTCGATGCGAGCGCTCGGCTCCGTCCCGGGGCTGCTGCCGCCGCCGCCGCCGCCGCCGCCGCTGCGATGGTGCAGGTGGGCGAAGGCGGCCTGGAGCGGGGCCGTGGAGCCCGGGTCCCCGAAGGCCGCGTGGGGAGGCAGCAAGGCCGGGCTCTCGGGCCGCGGCTGCAGGACCCCCTCGCGGCTCTCCACCGCTGCTCGGAGGCGGCTGTCGGGCGGGGGCGGCGGGGGCAGCTGCGGGGAAGGTCCGTTCGGGCTCTTCTTGGAGAGGTCGAGGCCGCAGAGCGGGGGGCACAGCCCGTGCGGGTGGGCGGCGGCAGCAGCGGCGGCGGCGGCGGCGTACAGCTCCCCGCAGTGGGTGCTGAGCGGATTGCTCGGCTCCACCGGCCGCGGCGGCGCCCCGAAGCAACTCTGGATAACCGGCGTGGCGGCGCGGAGTCCCCTGGCCAGCTTTCCGAAGGGCGCGGAGGCCGAATAGCTCCCGCCGCCGCCGCCGCGCAGCTGGTAGTATTTGCCGGAGCGCTTCAGCTTCCTCTTGCACAAGGCCACCAGGTCCGGGATCTGCAGGTAGCTGGCGGCGGCCAGGATGGCTCCCAAAGCGGGCTCGGCGCTGGTCACGCCAACCGGCTCAGCCTCGCCCTCGGCCCCGGGGCCCAGGCGGCCGGTGTAGATAAAGTCGAGGACGGCGCGGAAGACGGCCGGGCTGACCATCTCCTGGTCCAGGTTGATGAGGTTGTCGTGCACTACCAGGGCCTTGAGGTAGGCGCTGCTGGCCGCCAGCACGTTCTTGTGGGCGCGGAAGAGCGCGTTCTGCACCACCAGGATCACGTCGCAGAGGAAGCCCTTGGTGCGCTGCGCGTTGAGCTGGAGCAGCAGCTGCCGGGAGTGGCCCGTCGCCTCCGAGGCCTCCAACATCGCTGCGCCTGCAGGGTGGAGGAGAGAGAGCCCAGCGGGCCTTAGCTGGCTTGGCCGCACTCGCCCGCCCGCCCGCCCGCCCGCCACGCGGAGGCCCGGGAAGCGGGCGCCTCTCCTGCTCTCCTCCGCCTTGTGTTCCCCCGACTCCCCTTATAGAGGGGCTTTCCCTCTTAGGCGGCGGAGGGGGGAGGAGGAGGAGGAGGAGGAGGAGGGAGCTCAGCCCCGGTGGGTCCCGGATCACAGCCTCGCACGCCCTCCTCCGGGTGGGGCCTCGCACCTGGCGGGACAGCGACGGGGCAGCTTCCTCGCATCGCCTCCCCCGCCCCCCTCCGCCGACGGGACAGATCCACGGGCGCGGACCCCTTCTGCTTCCGGGCCGCTCGCCGCGGCCCCGAAGCTGTGAGCTGGATCCGGCCGCCGTTTCTCTGCCCGTCGCCCTCCGGAGGCCAGGGAAAGCCAGGGCGCCGTTAGCCCCCCCCCCCCGGTTTCTCACCGTCAGTGGCCGGATTGGGGGGGGGGGGCGGAGAGAGACTCCTTCAGGGCTGCCGGCCTGAGCGGAGGGGAACGGGGGAGACCGGCTGACAGGGTGGCTTTGCGCGCGCAGGGCCGCGGCTCGGCCTGCCTAGGGAACCGCCCTGCGGGCCCGAGCCGCCGGTGGGCAGCCCTTCTTTTATGCGCTGCGGGCGTCCTTCGCGGCCGTTCTTCGCCAGAGCCCACTCCCCCCCCCTCGCCCAGGGTCTCCGGTCCGGCTGCCCTAACCGAAGCGTCTCCGATTTGCTCCTTCCGGCCGGCATCCCTGCCCAGCTGAGGGATCGCCCGGTAGGGCTGGCTGGCTGGCCGGCCTGCGCGAAGGAGCTCCGGCCGCGGGACAAGGCCGCCCAAAGCCCCAAAGCCGTCCCGCAATCCGGCAGGAGCAGCCCCGCCGCCGCCTGTCAAAAGCTTCGCGGGACGGGCAGTCGCGGCCGAAGGACTCGGGTGACGGCGCTGCTGCCGCCGCCTTGGCCGAGCGAGAACGCCAAAGGCAGAGCGGGAGGACGATCGAGCACGGCCGCGGCGGGCCCTCGGTCGCCGAGGGAAGGGGCTCCGGGGCCGTCCGGGGCCGAGGGAGAAAGCCGGACAGGCAGCCGGACCGGGTCCCGCTGCAACCCCCGCTTCCCCCTAAAGGAGCCGCCGCTCGCGGACGGGCCGGAACCCCCGGGATTTCGGGCTGAGCGGCTCCTTTCCTCCCGCTGACTTCGGAATCCGCCCGCGAGGAGACCGCCCGGCCGGCCGCTTCCTGCCCGGCAGAGCCAGCTTGGGCAGCGGGCGAGAGGCGCCAAGTCCGGAGGCTGCGGGGTCTGCCCGCCCGTCCCTTCCCCGACTTACCTGGAAGTCCCGTCGGATCGGCCAGGCAGGCGAGGTCCGCGTGGACACGCATGGCCCGCTTCTGCTGCCACGGCGGCGGCGGCGGCGGCGGCGGCTCCTCTGCGCCCCTCGCAGCGCCTCAGGCCGCTTGGTGGAGGCTGCGCCGGCTGGTCCCCATGTGCCGGGAGCGCCGCGGCGGCGGAAAAGGTAAAGGCCGGGCCGCGAACTCCACCTGACCCCGGGCTGAACTCGGGCGTGTTAAAGGAGCCGCCGCGGCTTCCTCCGCCTCCGAGCCAGCCAGCCAGCGAGCGCCGAGCTAGCAGGCGAGCGGGCGGGCGGGCGACGGGGCTGGGAGAGCGCGGCAGGAGGAGGAGGAGGAGGAGGAGCCACCGGCGGGGTCCCGGAGGAGCAGCCCCGGGGAGGAGACCGCGCCGCGACCCCCGCCCGGCGAAGAGGGCAGGCAGGGGAAGGCTGGGCCCCCGAGAGCAGGGCGGGGCCAGCGCGGCGCGCCCATCGGAGCAGGACCCGCCGCGCTCTGCCGGGAGCCCAGACCGCCCCGTCGAGGGGACCGGCGCGCGGGAGAGCCGGCCGGGACGGCGCCGCAGGGAGCCCGGGGCGCTCGGCTGCTCGGCGACCAGGTGGGTGTCCGGGACCGGACGGGACAGTCGGAGCCGGGCGAAGCTGGCGCTCTGCACGCCCGTCCGCTTTTCCCTCCGGCCGCGCGTCCTCTGCCAGCTCCTTCCCTTCGGGCCCCGGTGGTCTTGACTTGTCCCGCGGCCTCTGTCCAAGAAATTCGCTCCCCGCCCACCCCCAGGGACCCCCAATTCCTGCCGGCGCGGCGACCCCTGGCGGCCGCGGCGCGGCGCGGCGGGTCCGGCGCAAATCCTGCTCTGGGTCGTTCGGAGGTCCGGCTGGGCGCTGTCCAGGGCCCGGGGCAAGCAGGTCGGGGGGAGAGGGAATGGAAACAGGGGGAGGCATAATCCCCCCAGCCAAATATAATGGCTTTGGTTCGGGACTGTTCCTCCGCGGTCGGGCCGGGCGATTCCAGCGTTTCCGTCCTGGTCCGTGTCGGCGGAGAGAGCGCGGCCCAGGCCGCTGAGCAGAAAGGGGCCTTCGTGGCTGCCAGACCCACCGGGCCATCTGACAGGCGCTTTGGGGCCCCTCCGACACCGGCGACTTCGCATCCGGGGCCCTCCGCCGCCACCGGAGCCTGACAGGACAGGGCAGCATCTGACAGGCGTGGCGTGGTGCAGGGCCAGGGGGCTTCAGGCGCGGGCAGGGGGGCACAGGCCACCCAAAGTGCCCCGCCGGCCCTTCCGGTGCCCCCTCTGGACATTTGCAAAGAGCAAGACGTGGGGGGGGTGTGAAAGGGGCGAAAAGGGCTCTGGCCTCGCTTCTGTCCCGCTGGAAGGGCGTCCTTCCGGCCACTTTACCGCTCTGTCCGCGCAGGCCACGAACGGGAATTTCTGTCAGGGCTGAGAAATGTGTCTCTTTCCTGGCCACGTCCTGGAAATCTGGGGGATGGGGGTGGTAGGGGCTGCAGGGGGCTCCTTCCAGCCCAAAGCCGCTCCCATGTCTGGAGGAAATGCTCACCACCACCCCCGTCTTCCTCCGGGCCAAACAGCCCCCCTTGTTTTTCAGGCCCAAATATCCAAGCAGGCCCAGGAACGTCGGGTGGGCGAAGCGCCCCTCGGTTTCACGCATTTGCAAGAGAATATATGAAAAAAAGGAAAGAAAGTTAAATAAAAACTTTTGTGTAAGATAATTTTGAAACTAACAAAACTTCCGAAGTGATTTCTCGGGAGATAAAGGGGTGGGGGTGGGGGGTGGGGGTTCAAGCTGCGGCTCACTTCCCAGGGCTTCCGATTCTGCTGCAGACTCGTTCTGGGGGTGTCGCAGAGGCTGGAAGGGAAAGTTGGTTTCGCTTTCGCTTTTTCAGCGCGTTGACAGGGTCGCCGCCTCCCACTCCCTCGGGATGAAAGACCCCCTCCAGGCCCTGCCCCCACTCCGACACCCCAGTTTCCGGATCGTGCTCTTTAGAGGGGCTTTAAAACACAGGGCTGCTTCGGGTTCCCCCGATCGTCCCTCCCCCCCCCGACTTCCGAGTGTTTCACGAGGGCCGTTAGTGAGACTGAAAACGCGAATCTCCTCCGCGCAGACTTATTTATTCTTCTTCTTTATCGACGCTTCTGCGTTAGACACGAACATTTTTTAAAATAAGTAAACTCCTGATTTTCTGGTACGAGATACTTTCCGTCCTCGCTTCAGCCCGGAAAACCTGTTTCAAGGGGGCATCATCGGCGCACACTGACAATCAAGAAAAATAAATAAATTTTAAAATCCGAAAGTGGAATAATAACAACTTTATTCAACCGAAAACTAGTCTCATTCCGGGCTTCCTGGTTGGGTAACGAATAAAACCTTATTCCAGTTTCGTGGCCTGTGTAATTTATTGGGCCGTTTAGTTTTCATTCCCATCCTTCACGCCCCTCAAATATTTTCGAATATAGTGTATCTTTTTTTTTTAAACGTGTGAAGTTTAGGCTCTCCGAGGTCTCTCTGCCGATCCGATACAAATAAGGTGGGGGTTTTTTTTGCAATAATTTTTAAGAGGTCGCTTTACAGCAACGTCAGTTAAAGTCCAACCAGACACTAAAAGTTTTTTAGAACGAAAAGAAGAATCGCAGATGCTGCTCTAAAGTGTCTTTGGGTTCCGGGAGGCGGTTATAAAAGACACTTTCGGGGCTGGTGGGAGTCCTGCAACCCTGTGGCTCCCCCCACCTCCCACCCCCGTCTTTCTCATTCCTTGGTAACTGAAAGGTTCACTGCGACTCCAAAGGCGGCTCCGATCGATCGTAACGCAAATTGAACCCCTGCGGCGGTCCAGCCCTTTCCACCATCCACTCTTCGGACCCACAGGAAGAGAATTCCTCCCACACACACGCGCGCTCGCGCGCACGCCTCAGTTCCACTCTTCAATAAATTAATACTAAATAAATAAGGGATTACAGTCGGTTGTGGGGTCCTTGTTCGCCTGCTTCCCCCCCCCCCCGATGTCCGTTGCCCTTTTGGCGGGACGAAGAGAGCTCCGGTTCCGTTCGATGGGCAGAGGGGCGCCGGTGGCCTTGCGCCCTCGGAATGTCCCCAGCGGAAGGGACCCGGCGGGGGGAAGGGCCGTTTCTCGAAGCAGCTCCGGGGAGGCGCTTCGGTTCTCCCACGACGGGTCAAGGAGGGCGAAGGCCGGCTGGTGCCGAGGCTTTGGCAAGCGACTTCCTCGTTCTGGGCCCCAGAAGGCCGTGGTTAGGGGGGGCTCCCCCGCTTCTAGCATGCTTGGAACCCTCCCCACCACCCCGGCCCTCTCCCTCAGGGGTGCTCCGTCGGGAGTGTCCCCGAACCACTCAGGAGCCTCCACTCGGGACCAGCCGCCCGGCCTCCCTTCGGTTCTGTCTCACAGGAACCGGCGGGGTTAGGGCTAGTGGCGTCCCCCACCCTGGGACTCGCGTGGCTCCCTTCTGGTGGATGGGATTGCAGGGGCGCCGGGAGTGGCAAGGGGGCCGAGGCAGAGCCGCCTCCACTAGCGGATAGACTGCCGCGGGCCCTGGACGCTCTCTTTAGCCAGCTAGCAGCCCTGGGCCTCGCCTCCAGCTGAGGAGTGA